TAGCAGTTTTGCTGACCCCTCTCCTTACTTCACTCACAATTGAGAATTCTATCATGTCATGGTCACTAAGCCCAAGACGGCCTCTGACCACCACATCTCCCACCAATCCTTCTCTGTTCGTAAACAGCAGGTCAAGCGAGGCACCTTCCCTGGTGGGCTCACTCATGAGCTGTGTCAGGAAGTTATCCTCCACACACTCCAGGAACCTCCCAGACTGTTTCCTCTCTGCCGTGTTATACTTCTAGCAGATGTCCGGCAGTTTGAAGTCCCCTACAAGAACAAGGGCCAGCGATTGTGAGACTTCTGCCAGTTGCTTATAGAATGTTTCATCTGCCTCTTTCTGTGAAAAAAAAAAAATGCTGTGAATTTCCATCTTAATTTTACATTTGTACTTCCCTTTAAGAGACACTGAGGTACTTTAGCCACATTGTCATTCCCATTTTGTGATTCAGGCAGTTTCCAAAGGACACTGTACTTCAGTCCACGTCAAGTAGTAGTTAAGTTCCAATTCTTGCCCACCTGATCTACCAAAGCAGCCTCCTTCCAGTCAGTGTAATTCAGCATGTAGATGAGGTAGGCTCAGCTTTTCTTGCATGTCAGTAGTTTAGGTGGTAGTATTTTGTGTTTTGACAAAGCAAGTTTGTCATAATTGAGAAACTTACTACAAGTTATGTTTCTTCTGGGGCACAGTTGGTACAAGTTTCATTCATCACGTGCAGGCTTCTCTTCATCAAGTGCCACTGCCAACGCTGTGCAGAGCACTCAGTCCTGACGAGCTCCCACTCCTGCTAGAAAGACTCTAGTCTAGTGTGGAGAATTATGTTACAGCTCCTGTGTGCTACCTACTGCCTCAAGTGCTGTTAGCCAGGTACTTTTCACAGCTGTTAATGCAATTACAAATAGTGCAAAACAATGTACAGCTGATGGAGTTGAAACATTGAGTGATTACTCTTTTTAAACTAAGTTTTTCTAGATGTTGTATACTTGTTAACCTCCAGTGGAGTGATGACCATGTGGCCAGAACTAGAACTCACTTCTGAACCTGGCACAGATAATGAAATTTATAGAGAATTTTATATTGAAATTATGTATGCCATAGCAGATGAACTCAGTCATGGAGTATATGTGTTTAACCACAGCAAGCTAATGATTTTATAATCTTGAACTAATTTTCTTGCTCTTCTTGTCTTGCTCTCTGCATTTAGTATAAAAATTCATCCTTCTAAAATCATCTAATAATACATTTATAAGATGCCAATGTTTAATTCTTTCCTGCCAGCAGATGGAGGCAGTTCTTTGGGAGCTCTTGGTGGTGTTGCTGTGCATGAATAGGAAGTTATCAGGTCGAGACGTCTGTTGTTTCTGTCTTCACCAGGCAGAAGTTGTGCCAAAAGGACCCAAAAAAAGGAGAAGGCCTTTTAAGAGACCTTACCATCTTAAAAATGCCCAGTTCTAATCCAAGGTCTCATATTTAGCATTAGTAGCACTGGTACTCTAGCATGCAGCTGACGGAAGAGTAATTTCTTTTTTGTACCATATTTTAGTTTAGGATGCCATGGTGCTGCCTGTTTTACACAGAAAAGCACACCTTTCCCACAGGAGGTTTCAAAAATACAGGGAAGTAAACATAAATAATCATAGATGCCAATATGCCTCAGTTCTGTGGACCTTTATTTTGGTGGCAAATGGAGGGATTTTGTTTTTCTCTTGTATGATAGGCTCTCTATTTTCAGATACACTAATAGCTATTCTCTGCTGGTTGAAGACTCTACTGATCCATGGCAAAGAGCAGTTTTTGCAACCTCCTTATTTACTGGAGCTATCATAGCTTACATTGGCTGAAATCTGTCCCCCTCAAACTGTCTAGGAGCTGTGGGTAGCATAGGAGTTAGCACAGAATCTCAAGGAATGAAAATTGATAGGCGTCAAAAGACACATCATTGATCCTTTCAGAGCAACATTTGAGAAGCACTGTCTCAGAATAGCTGAGAATGTTTTTCATGAATCTTTGGCCAAACATTTACAGAATTTGTGAAGTATAACTGAAATGAGGCATTTGTTGTTTCTCAGGTTACTGAGCTAGCAGGCTATACCGCCCGTGTCTACAACATGTTTTCGGTCTTTGATGAGGTGAAGAGAGGCATCTACAAAAGAACTGCTGTCATTCAAGGGTCTGAAAACAACAGCAAGAATGAAGATAAAGCAGAATTACATATCGATGGTCCCTTGGAAATCAAAGGTAATTAATTCATATTTGTATATATTCCCTGTGTGTGGAGCTGGTGTAGTGGGACAGGAAGTGAACAGATGTTTTGTTTCTACAACAAATCAGCCTACCATCCTTAATACCCCATGTTGCCTTCCATTTTAACCTCCTGCTATTTCGTAACTCTGTGCTTATGTAGTGCTTTTCTAATACACAAAATTGCTCAAATGTTTTCTGTGAAAACTTTCAATGAAAAAGGCATTTCAGCTATACTGTTACTGGTGGTCGTGGTATTATTATTCTTACACTGACAGTGCCTGCTTTCCTCAGACACTTAAGTTTTTTCAGAAACTGAACCTGTAAAATTTTCATCTTCAAACACATTATTTTGTTTGGGGCAGGAGGGAAAGACAGATTGGTTTGGTAGTTTTTAATGAAAATACTACTTTGTTTTTAGTGACTAAAAATCAGCCTCTGCTAATTTTTTCATAATTTAGTGGGAATTTTCAACTGAAAATGGGCTGACAACTTTACCCTTCCCCTCACCTCCCAGATGATCTGATTAATATAAACCTTAACCCTCCCGTTCCTATCCTGTATCTTTCTGGTGCCGCTATCTTTCTGCCTCCACCCTCCCCAAAGCATTTTCTGTGTACATCCATTTCTTATTGTGCTCCATTACATGCCATGTCTCTCCCTCTTGCGTCCAGCTTTTCTCTGAGGTACTTAAAGGCAGCTTTTGCAATGGGCTTTACCCGATTTTCCCAACAGACCCCTTCTGCTTCTTCCCTCTGTGGTATTGAAAAGCCTCATTCCTTCCCTTTGGCGTCTGAAAACTTAAACCTTGGTTGAGTTGAAGGCACCAAAGTGTTCTTTATGAAGTACCTTCTTCCAATAATTTCAACAATGCTGCCCTCAGCACAGATTTCTCAAAGGTCCTCTGACAAGGTTCTTCATTACGAACAATCTGATGCAGCATGGTGGATAGCTTTGGAAATAGCTGATGTCTTAATCATGTAGATCTTGGTAAGAAAAGGCATTTTATAACTTACATTTTGTCATGTACAAGAGAAAAGGTTTGTAGTTCCTGGAGCAACAAAGTAATTTGGTGGCTCTTTTTAGATAACTGTGTTTTAAAAACAAAACCAAATACATTTTAGATATGCAAGCATGCTGTTCATATTTCCTTTTGGTCTAGTATACTTACACCCTACTCCTTTTTTCTCTGCAGCCTTTTCCCAAGATTTGATTCCACTACAGTCACACATTTCACCCAGCCTGAATTCCTCCTAAGTCGTGGTGACTAGCATTTGCTCTTGAGTGGTTGTAGGCTCTCAGAGGCAGCTAGCCAAGACCAAGCATTGTGCACAAGGACTTAAGTAGAATTTAGGCCAGATGAATCTAGGCCACACGCTCCACAGTTTTTATGACAAGTCCCATTGTAATACTGTTTTTCCTCCTTTCTTTTGGTCTTGATACTTCAGAAATCCCTGCAGAGTAGATTTGTATGTGGATAAAAGTACACGTGCTCACATACGTATATGTGTCTGCATTGTTAGAAAAGGAAAATCTTAATATTCAGCTTCCCCAAAGGCTCTTTGAACACATACTACTTCTTTTTGAGTCATCCAGAATAAGTTTATGTAACTAAGGGATGTCTATTTTGTGCCTTGCACTTACTGTTGTCAATAAGAGCATTGTGAAAATATGAAAGCTATTGTAATATTTTTAACAGATAATAATATTGCCTTGTACATAGTGTATCTAGTAATTCAGAATTTTAAAGTTGAAACAGAATTTTGTACATCTTGTGCAAATACTGTCAAATTGTGTTTCTGATTACACATAAATACGCTTTAAAAGCACGTTAAAGTTGCAGTCAAACACTGTGAAGTTGGGAAATAAGAATTAAGTTGACTTAATACTTACGTAGCTTATTATTTTTATCACATTTATTTGAACTACAATTTCTCCACTGTATCCAAGCAATTTTTTTAAACAGCAAAACACTTTCATTTTCTATAATCTCATGTTGAACACCACAGAACTGTTTTAAATAAAACTTACTTTAGGAAAAAAAGAATACTTGAGTTGATACATGGCACAGAAATTTTTGCCCAGGTTGTTATAGTTTGGCAAAATCGGAAGCAATTGAACAAAGAGCGTCTTAATGGAAAATGTAAAACTAACCTAAACTGAAAGAAATACTACCAGATCCTGTTGTAATAAACACAACTTTTCCTTAGTTCCATTTTTCTTTGTTCAGATTGGTCTAAGTTATAAAATAAGCAGACTTTTAATACAAAGAGAAATCTCTTTCCTTTGCATCTTGTTTGTAAAGGTAATTTCTGATATTCATCTAGAAGCCCAGCTGTTTGGGTTCCCAGTTGCCTGTTAATGCAACTTCTCTAATGGAAGTTAGAGTTCGTTTCATTTTTTTACTGTTTCCAGAAGAATTTATTTCAAAGTCCTTGTGTTAGAGAATATCCAAACATCAGATTGAGATTGTATATCTAAATTTGCCAGAAATCTAAACAGTTACGTTTAGCTACTGGAGTGAAATGTTATACGCGTTTCCACAAATACTTACATGACACATTTACAGTGTCCGTGCCTTCAAAAAGAAATGGAAGCAAGCCATTAAATGTTTTCTCCTTTGCTCTTGTTGCTGGAGGAGACTGAACTGGGCTCCGATTGAATTGGGCTCCGAGTTTCAGAGCTGGTAGTGAAAGTAGATTCCATTTTCTAATTAAATCCTCAAAAGAAGGTAAACTGGTCTGCCTGTGGCTAAAGCTGTCCTTGAACTTTTTTACTGGTTGATATTAACCACCACAAAATACAGAAAATACAGGTAGAGTATGAATAAACATGTCTTTATAGTGCATTTTATAGATATATTTGTGATACATACTGTGCATTATATTTGTGATCAAATTTAGGATTCATTGCACACTCTTGGCTACTGCTGACAGTGTCTTTCTGCCTAGCTAAGATTTATTATCCAGATTTTCCATGAGGGAAACTTTGAGCACATGAAAGAGTTGTTTGAAACTCACCAATTTATACTTCTCAGCCATGCACAGACACTGTCACATATCATTGCTTAATGGAAGGTTTTGCAAACTCTAATTATTTTTTTTTAATTTCTAGGAAAAGTTATTGATGTTGATCATGGAATTATTTGTGAAAATGTGCCTATTATAACTCCGAATGGCGATGTGGTGGTTTCCGGACTAAACTTCAAAGTAAGATGATATGCAAGAATCTTCTGATTGTTGCCATCACATTAACATAAACAGCACAGAATTCATGTACCTTATGTTAAGTACTTGGAGGAGCATATGGATAAAAGGGGAAATCCAGAAAGGTAGGCATAGTAGCTCTATAGAGGCAGACATATGTAGCTTATCCTGCTCAAAGAAAGAGAAGAGAGGATTTCTGGTGCTGTTGCCAGGTGAAAAACTGACCTGAGATTTTCAAAGGTGCATATGGGAGTCTCTGCATCCATCTTTACTTAATTTCAATGGAATTGGGGTGCTTTACTCACAAAGGCTCCTTTAAAAGTCTGAGTTCACAGCAACAGTGGAAAAATTGAGTCTGTAGTTTTGCTTGATCACCACAAAGAGCAGTACTAACTAATAGTTGACAGCATAGTTCACAATCCCAGCTGTAGAGTCTTGACTCAGTAAAAGCTTGTATTGTTTTTAAAAAGCTATTCCAGATACCACTCACAATTTTAATGGATGACCTTTACTTATATTACTCCCATATATATCCTGATCTTATGTTCTAGTGCAGATGTTATTATTTTAAAAAGTAGTTGAAGTTATCAGAACACTAACATGAATAATTCCAGCAGGGCCTTTAATTTAGCTAAAGCAGAGTGTTCCTTTTGCCACCTCTGTTGGTACACGAATTAGTATCTAGGAGGGCAGGGTCCTAGCTATGGCAAAACTTGCAATGGCTTCAGTGTAGGAATCTCAGATTTGTAAAACTACAACTTTATGGTCAAAGAGACACTTACTCATTTGGCTCAAGAGACAAAACCAACAGAAAATATAACATAGTCAATATATTTATTTAAAGAATAGACAATGACATTGTGATTATGCATAAATGCAGGTAATTAATGACATGGGGTTGACAATTTGATGTAAATGCTCATGTAACTCCCTCTAGGGGTCTTAGACTGTCTTGTGCCACATGTACTGCATAGTAACATCTTTGCATTTTCATTGCTATTGTAGGTCCAGGAGGGGATGAATCTTTTAATCACTGGACCCAATGGCTGTGGAAAGAGTTCGCTCTTCAGAATTTTAAGTGGTCTGTGGCCTGTGTATGAAGGAGTTCTCTACAAACCTCCTCCACAGCACATGTTTTATATACCACAAAGGTATGTGTTTTGTTCAAGGTGATATCTTTTTTCTGATTACATGAATATTGACCCTGCTTCTCTCATTTTCAAGCTGTGATATGTACAGCCAAGTTAAAAGGTGTGAAGCACAACCTCAGCTGTGTGGAGAGTGCTGAAAAAAAAATTCTCGTTGGTGGTGCAAATCTTCAGTCATTGGAAAGGGCTCACATACACGTGTGATGGAGCCTGTGCTCCCCTGATGGCTAAAGTCCTGGATGGTTGGGATCATGGGAGCAGACTAGAATCTGAAAGAAACTTGAAGTAGACCTAACAGACCTTAATTCCGATTCCACTTGAAAACCAAAGATCAAAACAAGTGAGAGTGTTTTTGTTCCTAAATGTTGAATTGTTCAAAATAATTTTCAGAACTTCAACTTTTACACTACAAGACCAGAATCCAATCTAATATTAACTGCAAATTGCCTTTTTAATATGTGCTCATTTCACTAAGGGAAACGTGACTTTTCTGTGCTTCGTTTGTATTCTGACTTGCTGTTGGACTCTCAGAACATAATTTAATGCAATTGATTCTAGAATATCTCCTTAGAGACTTCTAACTAGGTTGTTTTGCAAAAGCAAAATCAAACACTGAGAAATTTTGATTGCTTTCTGTAGTTCATTTCTTCCCATGGGCAAAAGAAGTATTCATGGTACAGTTTTTAGTCTTGTTTAAAAAGTACAAGCTATTAAGCTGAATGGAAAATAGTAACTGATGAGTCGATTTTCCTTGCTGCAGGTGAAGGTAACAAAAAACATTTATCTATAATTTTTTCAAATATATGTATAATTTATTGCTAGCTATTGTCATTTTTCTGAGCCACTTGAGGGTTTCATTCAGGAATTTGGAGCAAAATGCTTTATTAAATGTTTTTCAAAACAATATTTCAGAATTCCCGTTGTGTGGGACATTGTTAAAATCAGTTTTATTCTTCGGCAGAAGAAAAGCTATTCTGAATTTTCTTCATGCAGAAAATCTTCAGTTTCAGCCACTTCTGTGCTCTGTGTGATCCCAACCCCTTCTCAGATCAACATCTGAGGCTGGCTTGCCTACAGCCCTTTCCCCTTTACTTATGTCCCCTTTATTCTGTGAAAGCAAGCAGACTCATGTTGCATTTGCCAAGGTGCTGGTTGAGGGGGGGTTCATTTCCATAAACGTGGTTCTTTGTTAGGTGTTTCCCCTAACTTTGGAGCTGGGGGAGTTGTCCAGCAGACCTCTTCTTTGGAACATTTCAAAACTTTGGGTCAGAAACTGAGATTCAGCCAGTGTCTTCGCAGCCCTTTGTGACCAAAGCCATGTAGGGAATGGCATGTCATCTTTTCAATGTACCCTGAAAGTATCGCTCGTGCAGTCCATCCTAATAGCAACCCCCAGGAGAAAGAGTGCTGCTGTGATGTCTTCAGGACATCTAAGTGACATTGCCATGGCTTGGCTCTGTGGCTCTGTGTGAGCTTTGCGTTCCTGGAGGGTTTTTTAGGCAGTACAGAGGTATTCCCTTCCAAAGGGACAGAGCAGTGTCTGGGTAAATGGGGCAACAGTGAGTGACAGAGAGGGCTCTTCTGCAAAAGTGCTATACCTTGACTGTGGCTGAAGATTTTGAAGTCTGTTTGGGGGACAGTTCAGCTGTGTCAGTATGGATTCTGCAGTCTCAGTAGTGTGGCCTGTCACTTATAAGTGTCTTGTATTTGGAAAGGGACTGTGAGACTGAGTCTTGCCGGGTTTTGTGGGTGAATGTGGCTGAAGGGGTTGATATACAACAGCAGTCAATTAGATTTGTTTGTTAAGATATCCTTGACGATCCTGAGTTGCTTTTTTGCCCAATGTATTTGTTCTTTGGGCTTGCAGAGTCTTAGATTAATATCTGAGATGCTAAGACTGACTTGAAGGAGATTCAGTTTTAAATTGAAGATTATACATTTCCAGACCAGATTTGCAACAGATCTGTTGGATTTTTAGGGCTTTTATGTGGATTGCCTTACGTGGCCCAGGCATTTTTTTTTCCTGGCTGTAGTCCATTTCTAAGTTCCTTTATTTATGGCTTAAATAAATTACACATTCAGTTGGTGTTTTTTGTTTGTCCCTGGCTCTAGAATACATTCAGAATTTCTGTAGTAGTTTGTAAATTGTTCTGAAGTCCCAAAATTAAAGCAGCTTGTTTTGGAAGGTCCTGCTGGTGCACCATTTTGCTTATTAACCCTGTGCAAATTGCTGCTTGGTCAGGATTAGTTTCTGATTGTTTATTTTTTTTAGACATAACTCTAAAACTTCATACCAGAAAAGCTAGTGCCCAGCCTACTTTTCATCATATATATATTTCAACATAACTTTAGGTAAAATTTATGTTCCAGACTGAGAGGATCTGGGAGATTGTGGGATATCACCTGGGTTCAACCTACCTCACTCTTTTGTTTGATAGGTTGGTGAAAACTATGGTATAGCAGAAGGCTCTTGAATTGGTGGATGTCCATAAGAGCGGCAAGTTGGCGTGACATCTCTTGTGTTTAGGTGTATACATTATGTCTAAGAACATGGGGGACAGCACTCCATGAGTGGACAGGGTTACCATTGAGCCTGATGAGAGCTTATTCCTGCATACCATTCTGCATCGGCCCTCTTCAAGTCAAATATAGGAACCTCATCAACACACAGTGAATGGTGGAGAATACAGTGACTACTAAGTAACAAAATACTCCTCAGTAAATAGGATCCCCCTGAAAAGATTATTTTTTCACCTCTGTTTGTAATGTTCCAGCGCAGTATTCCAGAAATGCGTGGGAAATCACGTGTCTTTGCTGCGTTCAAAAGCTACACACAAAAGTATGATTTCTTAAAAAGTGAATTATCTCATTGTGTACTCCAAATTTCATCAACACAGCAAACGTTTTATAGTTAGCTTTACTTAGCAGTATGTAGACTTTAAAACAGTCTTAAGAGTACCTGAGGTTGCTTAGCATCATTATACTGCTTTTTAAAGATTTTACTGTGAATCATTGAGAGATTGTTTTTTTTCTCCCTTTGTATATAGGACCAGGCCATGCAGAATTTGTTCTTAATCAGTCGCAGTTGTGGTCGATGCTGGTGGGACAAACTGCCCTTTTGGAGGGCAGGGAGAGAGAAACCCAGAGATTTCTGTGAGTGTGGCTCTGCCACTGTCCATGACAGGCCTGTAAAAGAGGAGGGTGGGCAGAAGAGAGGGAGGCTTTAAGAGGCTTTAAGCAGTCCAGCATCATATTGGTGCCAGAAGCGGCTTGTTTTCAAGAAGAGATCAGTGCTAGGAACTGGTCAGAGCTCAACAAGTTGTCACATCTCATTGGAGCCTCGGTAACTGTCAGTGTGTGCTCTTACCCCTTCTTCTACTTCTCTGTACCTCTTTTTCAAAGTGAAATTAATTTGTGTTAACCACCTCTTTGCATTCCTCTTCTAATTAACTGGTCAAGAAGGTAGCATGAATGAAAAAAAATGTGCTCTAGTTGGTAAGGAATTCTGATTCAAATCAGAATTCAGAAACATAATTTCAAATAATAAATAATTAGCAAAAATATGTAGTGGATTGCATGAGTACCAACGCTACATATATGATCACAAGATGTATATATAGCACTTAGGGAATTAAAGAAGCAGACAATCCTTTCATAGTATATCAACAATGTATCTGAAAGTAGCCTGGTTTCTCCAGACTGTGCCCTGTTCCTGCTCTATTGGTCTTAAACATGGGAGGAGGTTCCATCTCTCTGTTGGTCTTAAACATGGGAGGAGGCTCCATCTCTCTGTTGGTCTTAAACATGGGAGGAGGCTCCATCTCTCTGGAATTGGTGAGTTCCAGCATACAATTCCTCCTAGCATTTATTCCAGCTCTTCTTGCTCTCCAACTAAGTATCTCAGCTTTTTCAGTTGCGAGGAAACAGATTCTGCACATGTTGGCTCTCATTTCCTTAGTTCTCCCTCGTTTGATATAAACGCCAGCAGAATTGCACACCTACGTACTTGCAGGTTACCCTGACAACACCACAGGAATATTCCTCAATGTCTCTACACCATAAAGCTGCAGTAAAGCTGCAGTAAAGCTGTAATCACCACTGGGTTATTGATACAAATTATTAATCATTTTCTGCCAGCTGTGTCTTATTGTCTTATTTGCATGGAGGAATGTCTCATGCAGTTTCTGTCGGTTCCATAACCTTCTGTCATGACTCTCGAATCTTCCTAGCACAGCACATATCTAAAGCATCCGTCAGCATTTTTCTCTGTCTTTCTTGAGGACTGATTTACTGATTCACATTCATAGAGCTTGGAGTAATTCTTAATCCATTATGCTTCTTTCTCTTGGTCCATTGTTACTGTTTTTTCTTTCCAGCTTGCTTCCACTGTAATTTGGATATTTTTATGAGGGGGGTGTTTCTTCAGTGGTATGCATAGTTTCTCTGCAATTCTGTGTGCCATTCTAGTAGAAGACCAACCCTGACTACTTTCTCAGCGGTCACAGTAACAGTCCCATTCTGTATTGTCTCTCTTTCTATTGCTCATTCAAGTAGATCTCTAGTATTTCTTTCCTTCAACACCAGGCTTGTCAGATGCTAAAATGGAGGCAACCAAAGACGCACTAGTATAAAATGTTGTTTGTTCTTCATAATTTAAGATTTATATACCTATATCTTTCTGTCTTCTTATTAATGCTAGGACAGTATAGAACATAATAGTTTAAAGGTTTATCTGACACTCCTAAGCTGTTTGGTTTTACATACGTCTGCTCTATTTCTGGTATTTTATCTGGGGTTTCTTTTCTGATGTCTTTTCCTGTCTTGTGTTTTTCCTTCTGTATTCTAAAAATATTCTTGGCTACTGAACAAAATTGCATCAGCTACAAAGATATATTTCCTCTCCTTAGCTCTTTTGAGTAATCCAAATGTCCGATGTGATGTGCCTCAAGTAGTCCAAGGTACTCATCAAGTGGATGAAACCAAGAAAGAATATTTCCATTCTA